CAGGGGCTGCAGCCTACGCCGTCGCCGGCGACTCCCGGCAGCCCAGCTCCAGCTCGAGCCGTTGTTCAGCATCTTAGCTGCAGAGGGCAGTGTCACTGGCCCTCATATGTACCCACCCGTTTTTTAAAGATAGTTAGCACCACATATTGAGCTACCACAAAAGGTGCCAAACCTTCAGGCTCAGGAGCGATTCCGCCTCCTCACAGGTGTGGATGTAGAATCCACGTGCTGGCCCCAAGCCTCATTCACCCACTGATAGCAGTGAATCAGCGAGTCCACTCACTCGCTCACCCAGGAATCTCAGGTTCAAGGCGGCAAAGGCCCCCTGAGGAGAAGCCTGTCAGCCTGAATCATCATTTTCCTGAGCAGTATGTTTTACAAACTTCTTTGATATGGAAAATTGACATCTAGAATTCTCCTCAATCCATAGCCGGTAACTTAACCACCAGCTCGCTAATGAAACAGATAGGACTGACCAGCCATGCTGAATTCTGTATTTCTTCCAAGGAAACTCAGCTCAACTAGATCCAAGGTGGGAGCTCCCAGGGAGACAGCACCTGCCCTTCCCAGTCAGTCACGCGATACGGTAAGTTTGTCCTTTGAAAGACACGTGTAGCTTCCATGTCACCTGAGGGCTGGAGCACAGCCCCCCTAGGACACAGCCCACTCTTTCTGCTGGTGGCCTGTGCACCTCAGCCCCACTTCCCACCAACCTTCAGGGAGGTTGGGGCCGGACTGTGCAAAGTGGGCCCTTCTGAAGCCGTTTCACACTGGTTTAACTAGTAAGAATCCTTTTTTCTCCTCCGTGTTCAACAGCAATCATCCCAACAGGTTTCCTGGCTCCCGCTAAAGCCCAAACAGACACATCTAGAATATTTTAAATGACTTTATTAAAGGCTATTAATATAAAATACAACCAAGTTACAAGTAATCAGTAAGAATTTTCATTTTTGAAAATGTGTATCAAAGAAAGGGAGGCTGCTCTGACATCCACGCAGGTGGTGGGGGCTGCAACCCCCACTGTTCCCAAAGTGGGCAGCGCTCCCAGACCCACAGGCGGGGGGGGGGGACGAACCCCCAGGTGAAAGAACTGAGACTGGGTTCTGACTTCTTGGGAGACATTTTGCAAAGTACAGTCACCCAAAGCAAGACACTGAATCCATGGGCTGACTCCCAGGTGTAGGAGACGGGGTGGGAGAATCCAAAGCCACATACAGGCTTCAGCTGAAAAGCGTGCATTTTTAAAATAACAAATGGAAACTCTGGGTTTTAGAAGCGCCATACTGCTACATGGGGGAATAAAAGTGGCAAACGTAAGAGCTAAACTTTCCCTTATCTGGATTCCCAGAGGGCAGGAAGGAACCACCCTTTACAGACTGCAGGGTTACGAGGTGGATCCGAAGGCCAGGCAGGAGGGGCCCATGAGAGAGCGTCCTCCAGGCCTTCGCTTCACCTACTTCCAAAAACAGAGCAAAGCAGCTCAGCCTTAGGACGGCCTCCAGGGTTTCCCGGGAGGACTTGAAGAGCATACTGAGCTCTGTGAGAAATTAGAATCGCCTCCCAGAACTGACAGGCTGCTGTGGGCTAATCGATCTCTCCTCCCTGTGACCAACTCCAAGGAACACAGACTCGCGCCGGCACCTCCCCTGCTGTCACGCACAGGTTCTAAGGCAGCCCACTGCTCAGGCTCCGGCTCCAGGCTGGCCCGAGCGGCTGGCTCCGTTATCCTCACCACCACGCTAGAAATCTTTTTCCCTTTTATGTTTTAAGTATACTTAAACGCTACAGACAGATCCTGTATTTGCCATGATACAGTCACCAAAGCAGGGAGGTCAAATACAAGACCCCAAGAGGCCAACTGAGGTTTAGGGACATGAAGCAATTGGCAGAAACCAAACCAAACACTGGCTAAGCCACAGCTTTGGCAGAAACTTTCCTGGAAGAAAATGTTGCTTGTGCTTTACCTTGGAGCCAGATAAAATATTCTGGAAATCATTTCAGAAGGTCCTGTGAAACACCAAGGCATCTAAAAAAGACACATTTTGCTATTGAGACCAGGCGCTCACTGGCAGGACTCGCTGGGATTAAGGCTTCAGGTGAGAACACAGTGAGAAGCGACACGCAGATCATGCTTGGACATGTCCTGCAGCTCAGGAGCCACTGATCAGGGCACAGGCTTCCCAGGCTGAGGCCCACATGTCCCTCACCCCGTCTGGGCATCTGGGAGCTGCCCCACCAGAGCAGCCATGGGCTGTTCCGCTCCAGGAGACGCTATTGCTATGACCACAAAGGTCTCCAGGGGGCGCTGCTGGGTCCCTGTAGAAACTGGACTCTTCCACTTCTGCTGGGGGTCAGGGTTGTGGCAGGGTCCACTGTGACACAGCTTGACCAGTCTTTGGGATGAAGGAATTCCACTGCCCCTGCTAGTCTCAGGCTGGAAGGTTTAACACAACTAGTCAGAAGAACCAGTTTCTCCAGCGACATTGGCCCTTCCTGCTGCAGATGCCCAGGACAGGGGACACCCACAGGCCACATGAGTACAGAACTCCAAGAAAAGTGGTAGCCCTACAACTGCTAAATCTAGATACAGAATAATAAAACGTTAATACAAAACTTCGAAACATGCAACTCTTAAACAATGATGAATAGTTTGAGTAAGTACCAGGGCAGCTTACAGACGCCCTCTGCCATGTGCCAAGTCTGTTTCCTGGAAATGATGCGAGGGTGGGGGGTGGCACTCGATGCAGGACATGTGGCTTCAGCAGGGAGCACCAGGGCAGCTGGGAGCATGGGGGGGCGGGGGAGTGCCGTGGGAGGCAAATCTTTCCACGGTCACAGCCAGCATGCTGACGTCACCAACAATCACCCATCAAAGGTAGCCCCGCACACTCAAAAAAGGGAGGGGATAAAGGAGGGGATGGGAATCACTTACGATTTTTGTGACATGGCTAAGAAAACCATTTCTCTGAGGAGGGGGAAAACTGGGTGCAGCTGGAACAGAAGTTTTATTTATAAGATGTACTGAATTGCTAACGGTCTTTTAAAAATCCAAATGTAAAACTTCTGTTATCAAACCACTGAAAATAGCATATATATCTGCGCTTACCAAAAAGGGAAAAATCTGAAAATCTGGACAAGGCAATATGTACCAGTTTTCAAAAGATTAAGAAAAGTGTACAGGAACCTGGAAAAGACCCGAGGGAACACTGCCCGTTGCATCCTCCTCCGTCACACCACTTAGGAAAACATTTTGAAGTTCTTGGTTTTTTGTGGGGCTTTTTTGGCTAACACATTTTACCAATTGTCCAGAAAATCAAACCCCGTCTTCAAGATGACATTACTTGAGCCGACCTGCAGAAGAGACAAAAACACCGAAGTAAAGCATGAGGGGTTTTAGTCACACATAATCTAAAAACAGCATCTCATTTAAAATGACCCAAATGAAAAAGGCTGCTTCTGTCTCAGAGGCTCCCTGACCTCAATTTGCCTCTGTGCTTGAGACCAGAAAATTAAATAAAATTCAATGCAAGCTGTACTCTGTTAGGATGCAGCACCCCCTTTTCCATCCCCAGACATACCTGCGAGCAGCTTCCAGACCTGCCTACAGAGAAAAGGAGAAAAGTGGATCTTTTCTCTTTCTGAATGACAGGCATGTTTAAAGTTAGTCGTCATGGAATGAGATAACATACTACAAATATAGTCTTTGTAAAGCACCACACACACAAAAACAAAAACTTGCAAAGTCAAGGAAATAAGAACTATGGGGAAAGGATGCAAAGCTCACTTCTTCAGATTCTATGGAAGGTTCTGGAGTGATTTTCCCTAGCCCAGGGGCCTTCTTCAGCTCAACGATCGTCCACTTAAATGATGTGGGGCTGACCTAAAGGGCCCCTCTGTGAGCTGGGGCTGTCTCGAGCTGCTGCAGTGTTCAGACCCGTTCCTACAGGCTCCCACCAGCCACCTGTGATCTGAAGCAGGTAGTCACCAGCCAGGCTGCGGCCTTCTTGGGCACTTTGTCCCTCCACAGAGCAGGCATATAGGACATGCTTACATGGCAGCAATGGCTGGCAATGGCCGAGGCAGTCTCCCTTGAAGCTTGTTTCAGGCCCAGTTTTGCTGCATCAAGACTAAGGCAGAATGAGCCAAAACCTGACAAGTTCAGGTTCCTCCCTTTTGGGGTTGCCTACCAGTTTCTTTTATTTTCTTTTTTTTCTTTAAGCTGAGCCATCCTGTCACCTGCTAGCAGCTGTTGGCAGCTCAGCTCGGGCCGGGAATCGAACCAGCGACCCTGTTGCTCAGGGCTCACACTCTTGAGCGAGCTCTTAACCAATTGAGCCACTCGGCCAGCCCCTCCCACCAGTTTCTTATATGCAGTGGCATTTCACTGTGTGCTTTGTGCCCAGAAAGCTGTTCTTCCAGGTGATTTCATGTGCTTTCTCTGACTCTGCTCCCCACACACTTTCCTGCATCTCTTACAATTAAGACACTCATAGGACTGGCCGAGTGGCAAGGTGGTTAAGAGCTGGCTTGGGATGCCAGAGGGCCCCGGTTTGGATCCCACATATAAGGGCCAGTGACACTGCCCTCTACAGCTAAGATGCTGAACAACAGCTCAACCTGGAGCTGGGCTGCCGTGAGTCGCCGGCCACTGGCAGGTGGGTTGCCATGGGCTACCATGTATAACCAGCAGCCAGTGTGAGCGGCCAGCAGCCACTGTGAGCGGCCGTCCAGAAGCCGGCAACTGATCTGCCTTGCCCGGAAAGAGTGCAATGATGGCGCCAACTTGGGCCAGTGAAGCAACGTCCTCCACAACTAGGCTGAAGAACAACACAACAGCAACTTGTCTGTTCCCCTTTCCCCAATTCCCCAATAAAAATCTTTAAAGAAAAAAAAAAAAAAGACACTCATGTATTTTATATAAGTGCTTCCTTTGGAGGAGGACCCAACCGCAGAGGTCAGAGGAAGGTGACTAGTTAGGGAGACAGGCCAGCCCAGCGCATCTGTGAGGAGGAGCCCAGGGCAGGAGATTAGAGACAGAAGAGAAGAGATGGGGAGGAACCAGGAGGCAGGAAACGGAGGGGCCCAGATGTGTTTGCTGAAGATGGCGTGTGAACCTGGAGGAGGACAGCTGGGGAACTGAGGTGGCGCTGACGGGGGCAGAGGGAGCGCCCACCACAGAGTCCCCTTCTTCAGGAGGACAACTGACCAGGTCATCTGCTGAGAGAGGCGTGGAAGCACCCGGAACCCCATTCCAGGAAACACCCAGAGGGTGACTACAGCCCAACAACAAAAATGCACTGATTAAACCTGGGCAAGGGGTTTGAACAGACATTTCTTCAAAGAAGAAATGGCCAGTAAGCAACATGGAAACACGCTCAGCACCACTAGCCATCAGAGGCATGCAAATCAAATCCACAATGAGAGATGCCACTAGGATCGCTACTACCAAAGACGAGAAACAAGTATTGGTGAGGGTGCAGGGGGGCTAGACTTCCTGTGCGCTGCTGGTGGGAGTGAAGTGGTGCAGTCACTATGGAGAATAGTATGGCTGTTCCTCAAAAAGTGAAACATAGAATTACCATAGGACAGCAGTTCCACTGCTGGGCATACATCCCAAAGAAGTGAAAGCTGGGACTCGAACAGATATCTGCACCCATGTTCAGAGCAGCATTATTCACAATAGCCTAGAGGTGGAATTGACGCATGATGGATAAACAAAATGCGGTCCATCCCTACAATGGAGTATTAGCCTTAAAAAGAAGGACGTTCTGCTACCGGCTACCACATAGATGAACCTTGAGGACACGATGCTGAGTGGAATAAGCCAGTTACAAAAGGACAAATACTGCATGGTTCTGCTTACATGAGGCTCCAGGGGGGTTACATTCATAGTGGAAGAAAGTAGAGTGGTGGGTGCCAGGGGCTGGGGGAGAGGAGTGGGGAGTAGTTGTTTAATGGGGACAGAGATTCAGTTTTTGAAGATGAAAGCGTTCTGTGAATGGATGGTGGGGGTGATTATATCACAATAAAATGTATCTAATGCCACAGGACTGTATACTTAATATGGTACATTTTATGTTATGTATATTTAACCACAATTAAAAAAAAATTAAATATATGTTAAAAAAAAATAAAAGATAGCCAAGGAGTCCAGGTGATGCTTATGTGGAACAAAGCAGTGGGGTGCACAGAGGTGGAGCAGGCAGGAGTGGGGGGCTCACAAGTGTGCCTGCCCTTGCCCACAGGCTCCAAAATCCACGCCCAATCCTGAAGAATGAGACGCTGGCTGTCTGGACAGGGCCTGAAGCAAAGGCCCGATGTGGACTCAAGCTGTGATGGTCCTGGGCTCACGGGCCCCGGGGCTCTGCCGAAAGTAGGGGGACTTGCAGGCAGCATGAGCGCTGGCATGTTTGTTTATAAATGAGATCTTGCTCATCACAGCTGGTCCCATCTTGGGGCCAACAGGCTCCCAAGGAACCTGGGGACACCTCGTTTCCTCCCCTTGGCTGTCCTCATCTGTCATCTGTAAGCAGGCTCCCCCTACTCCCTCCCTGAGACTCAGCAAGCGCTGTGAACCCCTAGAAGACCCCAGGAAGCATTAATGTTCCAGGACGTTCATGGACCCGTTCATGGTCTCACTCCGGTGTCATGAGCGGCCCATGATTTCCCCCCAGAAACGGTTCTCAGATGGGCCTATATCCAAAGTATTGCTTTGTTCATCATAAATCTCAAAACCAAGGCCTCCCTCTGAAATATGACTTTTTTTTCGGGGGGGTGGCAGAGGGGTTCTGCAATCCTCCAACACTAGTTCCACTTAAAGACTTAAAGTCAAACATTTTGTTTGCTCTTCTGTCTCAATTTCCTAAGCAAGGCAGACCAGCCGGTAAAGACGACAGTCTCTGCTCCCACAAAAACGTGGGAAAGCCCTCAGAAGCCACTCCCGCTGTCTGTTCTCTCGCAGTCCCTCTTCGTCATGACACCCACTCACCCAGGGGGCCTCTCCCACCTTTCTTCTGCTTCTCCTCCACCTCCAAGGAAGAACCTTTTCTTTAGGGTTCCTCCCTGGACACCAAACCCTGTGCTGCTTAGAAATGAGTAGCTACAAGGGTCACTCTGTGGTCCCTGAGGACAAGCATGGCCGCTTCTGGTGGTGCCCGCAGGTCCCGCCTGCTTCCTCCGAGTCCCTAGGACACAGGCTGGTTGGTCCTTTTCTCACTAATGCCCCAGCTCAACTTCACAGGCCCCTTGGTCAACCAGGCTGCCAAACCCTCCACATTGGCCACCTCCCCACAAGTTCCCCTGTTCACTGCCCCCCTACAATCCCTCCCCATCTGCCCTCACACCGCTGGGGAGGCGCAGCAGGCCTCTGAGACACAACCACGGGACAGACAGACAAGTGGATGGACTCCCAGACTCATCTCCTTGCATATCTGTCAGTCACTGAGCTGGGTAACCCGGCAATCCTCACCCCGAAAGCCCTCTGAGGAACAGGCAGGGAAAGGACGGTCGGGGAGAAGAGGCCTCCCAGGTCACTCCTGGAGGAAGGGGCCACCTACCCACCTGTGTAGGCGCCGGTTCCGAGAACAGAGCGTCCTCCATGTCCTCCCTATCCCCTGGGCCAGCCCCAGGAGAGAGCAGCTTGCTCACGGGCTCGGAGCGGGTGGCTTCTTCCAGCGTGCTGGTGCAGGCCTGGACTGGCTGGGGCCCCTCGCGCTCGACGCTGGCACCGGGAAGGACACGTGGCTCCTGGCGGAGGTGGCTGGGCCTCTCCGCCTTGGCCTCTCTGTCCTTCGGGGCAGGGTCCTGCCTATAGCAGACCGGCAAGACCTTTTCGCCTTTCTCCATGGACTTGATCTGGCTGGGGGTCAGCGACTGGAACTCAGCCTGGGGCCCCTCCCCGCGGGACCGCTCTGCATTGATCTTCCAGAACGATGCCTCCTCTTCCTGCTGGCTGGGACCCAGAGCATCCAGGTTGGAGGGCTTGCTGCCCTGTGAGGGCCGGAGGGCCTGCAAGCCCTGAGACGCTTTGGACGGTTGCCTCGGCTCGCTGGTGGAGCCACTGCTGGGCTCATGGATGGATAAGGAGGAGATGCTGAACTCCATCTGACTCTACGGCCGGACACAGGGAGGAGACAAAAGAAAGCCACCCTTAGAACCAACCGGAACAGGTGTGCCAGCTCGCACCCACCACCAGCAGCAACAACGCTGGTTGTCCATTTGCTGAAACTTTCCTTTTTTTCTTTTAAATGTGAAGATCTAATTGGCTTTATTAAGCAGTTCGTGAGCTGGGCAGTGTCCCATGTAGCAACTAGAAGGGCACTCCCTGAAACTTTCTGTCTGTCCGAGTGGTTACTTTCAGGACTGACATCCCACACTGGAAGCACAGTGGATGCTCTGATTCCAAGACCCTGTGACGGTCCACACTACAAACAGCTCAGAGATTCCTGAATCTCTGCTAAGCACCAACCAGTCTCCTCAGGGTTGATTCTAGCACCTTCCTGACAGGAGCTGCAGGGCAGGTGACTGCCCTCCTGGGAGGGTACTGAGGGAGGGTGCACAGCTGGTGAGAACACAGCACTGCAGAGAAGGTCAGCACCCAGCGACCCCCACCCCTGTCTCTTCCCTCCCACCTATAGCAGCAAACAAGGGTGAAAAAAAAGCCAACCAAGCCAGACCCTGCCTTCCTGAACTAAACTAGGGAAAAACTAGGCAGGCCCCCTCTTTCCACACGACCCCCTCTTCCCACCTTCACCCCTGCTATGGGCTGAACTGTGTCCCCCAAGTTCAAACACTGAAGCCCAAACTACCTAAGTGATGCTGTTAGGAGGTGGGGCCTCTGAGAGGGGATTAGCACCCTTGTAAGAAGAGACCTGAGGGATGATCTTTCTCCCCACCCTGCAAGGACACAGCAAGAAGGCAAACCCAGAAGAGAGCCCTCACCAGGACCCAAACAGGCTGGCACCCTGATCTCGCCTTCCTGCCTCCAGAATTGAGAAATAAATGTTTGCTGTTTCAGCCCCATGCCCTCCCATCTGTGGGATTTGTTACAGCAGCCAAGTTTCCTCCCTGAGATGCTCCGAGTTTTCTCCCTGGAGACACTCCACTCGGCACTGCTCCATGCGCTTACCCCAGTCCTGGTCCTGTAAGCCAGGACACCGCTGCCCGCCTGAGGCCAGAGGCCCGAGGGCAGGCAGGACCCCCGGCACAGCCCGGACCCAAAAGCCCCAGGAACGCTTTCCGAGATCCAATACTACTAACCGCAGCAATCTCTAAAGATGAGAGTGCTGAGCTGCTCTGACCAAGAAATCCTTGAATGGAAACGGACACCCTCTAGAGCAGGACACAACAGCTCTGCGGTTGTGACAACCCCTGCCATCTCAGTCACTCCTCACAATGGTCCTGACGGCGCCTCCTCAGGCCACTTCCACGCTTCACATCCCCCCTTGTTTTTTTAAATGATAGTAGTTCAACTATAACATAGAAAGCTTGGGAATTGGGAGAAAAGACGAGTCATTGATAACCCTTCCCTCTTCCCATAATCACTACTGCTTTTTATATTTTGTGTAATCTTTTTCATACACACATTTTATGAGGTTGCAGTTTTCTTAACACATATAATTTTGGGCACTGTTTTCTTACTGAATCAGAAGCATCATGCATGGTGTTACATAGCGTTTATAATCATCATTTTTAATGAGTGCAAAATATGAGGTGTGATTAAAAACAACAGTGAATGTTTAAATTAAAAAAGGATTACAGTAAAAGACACATTGCCATTAATCCCCCTCAGAAAACTCCCCCTCACTTTGAACCCACTTACCCCTCATTCTTGCCACTTTCTGAAGCAGTTCTGGAAGTCCTCCTTCATGAGTGTCTTTAGTTGCACTGCCGTGGCTGCTTCAATGTCCTGAATCAATTCAATACATTTACCTTTCATGGTCCTTTTGACTTTGGGGAAGAACCAGACGCCGCACGGTGCCAGACCCGGTGAATAAGGTGGATGAGGACACACCGTAATGTTTTTCTGTGACAGAAATTGCTGTACCAGAAGCGATGTGTGACACGGAGCCTTTCTGTTGTGATCACAAAATACAGTGAATGCTGCTGCTGAGTGCCATCCAACAGAAAGGCAGGGATCTTCAATATGGGAAGCAGCGTGTCGAGCCTTAGTAACAGTGTGTGACAAGTTTCAACTTGTTCGGTGCAGTCAGTTGGGTGTGAGCTACAGTTGAGAAGTGTGTTTTAAAGTGTGCCGTAAATCAGCCTCCATCATGACAACACTCCATGTCACACATCACTTCTGGTACGGCAATTTCTGTCAAATAAAAATATTACCGTGTGTCCTCACCCACCTTATTCAGCGGACCTGGCACCGGGAGACTTCTGGCTCTTCCCCAAAGTCAAAATGATTCAGGTCATCGAGGCAGCCACGACAGCGCAACTAAAGACACTCACAAAAGAGGACTTCTAAAACTGCTTCAGAAAGTGGCAAGAAGGACGGGATAAGTGTGTTCGAAGCAAGGGGAGTATTTTGAGAAGGATTAATGGCAATGTGTCTTTTACTGTAATACTTTTATTTAAACATTCACAGTATTGCTTGATCACACCTCGTACTTCAGAGTAGCTGTCCTGCCACCTACTTAACCACTTTCTTATCAATTTGTTATCTCTAATCTTTTTATTGTAATTAAAGTTGTCTCTAATATCTTTGTGCACACAGCTCTGTCCCTTTTGGAGTTAACTTCTTCAGACAGACTTCCAGAAGCGAAACATCAAAACACAAATGGGTCTTTTCTTTAATGGTTCTAGGTGCATACATATTACCTCCCATATTTGCTCTCCTGGAGATGCCCCAATTTCTAATGCCTCCAGCTATCTATCAGAGTAGCATTATCAGTCACTGCTCCCATATCATCACTGAGCATAGTAGTTTAAAACTGCTGTGTTAACGTAAATACGAAACATGGTTCTTTATTACTTTAATGTATATTGCTTCACTTAGTAATGGCTGATTCAGGTCTTTCCATTTTTACAGCCCTCTCCTGGGACTCTCTCCAATGGGCACGGACATGTTTGTTAGGACAAGGACGCAAACGTTGCTTTTCCTATAGAAACTGCAGGCTCTGAACCCAGACAGCTACACATGTTCTCCGTCTGAGACTTCCAGAAGTCAAAGTCTGCTGGCCAGAGGCCTCCCCTCAAGGGCCAATGAGATGACAAGGCCGCAAAGAACTCACGCTCCCATGGCAAGCACAGGCTGACTCGAAGCTCAGTGTTATAAGAAAGAAAACCCAGGAAATAGCCACTGATGCTGTGGCTGTGCCAGGTGCTGTGGTTCGAGACAAACGCAGACTACCAGAAGCATCCAACGCAGCGGACACTTTTTGTAGTTGGTTTTGCTGTTTTTAAAAAATTTTCTTTCTATAAGTGAGGAAACGAAGGTTTGGAGCAATTGAGTAAATCGTTCTAGGTCACTAGTCCATCAGGATTCGTTCAGCTGGGACCTCAACCAGGATCGAGTGAGCCCAAGGCCTGAGGCCGTGCTGGGCACACAGGAAAAGCCAGTGGCCACCGGGGACGATGTCCATGAACAGCACAGAGCCTCATAGGCAGCAGGATTTCTGTAAGTATGTCAAGGGCCTAATTTGACTTTTAAAGGGCTACTTCTGAGTGAACCGTTCCCTATACTCTGGATAGTTCCAGATTCCACAACAGAATAGAATAGATACTGTGGGCACAGAGATGATGGTTTCTTTAAATAAGCAAGTTGCTAAAAATAGCTTAGAAGTAGGGACCAAGACTCAGAAAAGAGTTGATTTTGACCTGGAAATTGCAGTGTGAGGAAGGCACTTACAAGTGAGCACTTTACCAAGCCCCAAGCGTTTTTAGGATCAGCCGTTTCTTCAGTGGGGAATCTCTGCTTAGAAGCCTCTGGAAGGCTAGGCTGAACACTGGTCTACGTGGAGAGCAGCTAAGCGCTGAGCCAGAGACGCTGGAAAGAAGGCAGTCAGAGTGGCTGCAAGACTGCTTTGGGCTCTGTTGAAAAGGCGCCCAAGCCGCACTTAGCTGCATGTGACATCCTCAAACAGGACAGAGGCTGTTCCAATGGCTCCTTTGGCAACCGGAGACCATGTGACAGCTCCTCAGGGGAGGGTGTCACCTGGTTAGAAGAAAGTACATTTTAAAGTGTGTTGGGCCGGCCGAGTGGCGCGATGGTTAAGAACTCGCTTGGGATGCCAGAGGGCCCCGGTTCGGATCCCACATATGAGGGCCAGTGACACTGCCCTCTACAGCTAAGATGCTGAACAACAGCTCAACTTGGAGCTGGGCTGCCGTGAGTCGCTGGCGACGGCGTAGGCTGCAGTCCCTGTGGCAGTGGATTGCCATGGGCTACCGTGTGTAGCCAGCAGCCAGCGTGAGCGGCCAGCAGCCGCAGTGAGCGGCCGTCCAGAAGCCGGCGACTGATCTGCCTCGCCAGGGAAGAGCGCAATGATGGTGCCAACTTGGGCCAGTGAAGCAGTGTCCTCCACAACTAGATTGAAGAACAAAACGACAGCAACTTGTCTGTTCCCCTTCCCCTAATTCCCCAGTAATGTTCCCATCCCCCCAATTACCCAATAAAAATCTTAAAAAAAAAAAATAAAGTGTGTTGTACCTGGTTTGGGGGGCTTTAGTGTGAAAATGGGGAAAATAAGAACTTACAGAAGAAAAAAAGTCCCAGCATATCTGCCTCTGTCTTTCTCCTTAGGCATACGCTGTATTTTATTTTGCAAATAAAATATGACTACAATCTCCTTTAAAAAAAGTCTTCCTTGATTAGCTGTGCTGGTGCTGGGTCTTCTCCTCACTCCTCATCCCAGAGGAAAAGCGTTTGTTATTTGTACTTAAAACACATGCCTGTACGGAGAGGGCGGGAGGAAGGGAGGGGGAGCCTAGGTCTTTTCTCCGTCCGGCCTTGCTCATCCAAGAGCTGCAGGGCTCCTGCACCACCTGGGTTGGGGGAGGGTCTGGTGGAGCAGTCCATCTCCCCCCCTCACCACCCCCTACCCCCCTACCCCCCTGCCCTGGGACTGCAGCCCCCAGGGGTCTCATGCTGCAAAGGTGCCTGAACGCATGAACCAGGGCAGAGTAAAAAGTAGCTCCAAACTCATTGCAAAGAGGGGCAGTCATTCCTGCAGGTCATCTGGAAGGGGCACTTTCACTTGAGCTCCATTTGCCATTTCGCTTCCTTGACTTGACCCCAGGGGGCTTTCCTCCCTGCGGCCATGCTCCCTCTCGTCCTGGGCGCCTCTGCTTGCTGAACTTTTCTCCCTAGAGATGTCCCAGCTCCTCCCTGGGCCCCCTGGATGCCCAGCCAAGATGCTTCCAGATGTGATCACTCGTGTCCCCTGCCTCCCCTCAAATCTGCTCCTCCTCAGTAACCACAAAACCACCCGCCAGCCTACACTTGGGCTTTTTTCTTTTCTATAATAGTACAAAGGGAATGATCATCGCTGTTACCTGCTGGGCTGCTGTGACAATTAACCGTGCATGTGCCCTCAGGGCTTGAGAACAGTACCCGGCACACAGGAAGTGCTCAGTGAACAAGCCACTCTGCTCTCCTGGTTCTGAGTGGTCTGAGGTCAGCTATGTCTACGATCACGGGTCATGAGAGCTCCCCGCTGGGTGTAGGCTCCCCTCACACCTTCCTCTGGTCAGCAGGGTGTAGCACGTGGTGACTGTTCCCACAGCCAGGACAGGCAGGCATTGCCCATGCATGAATAGCAGAGCTGGGGTGAATACCCCCTGGGGCTCCTCTGGGTGTCCAGTGTCAGCTGAGGAGCCGGAGCTGTGAATCTCCCCACAGGCACTGTGCTCAGGCCACTGTCCTGTCCTGGGGACTCTCCCAGAGGGACTGTAACCTACTCACCTTCTCCCAGGCCTTTGAAGGTCAGGCCATACTGCAGGTTCTGGGAGATGGGGCCCTTCTGACACTGGGATAGAGCCGTGAACAGGAGGGGGACAGCCCTGCCTCGTGGAAGTGTCAGGTATCAGAGGGACCCTGCTGGACCCAGTGATGAGCGCAGGAAAGTGGAAAGACAAAGTTCCAGGTGGAATTTTCTTATTTCTGGGAAAAAAGTCTTTTCCAAGTGTGGAGGGAGAAAGGAAGCACCACCGTCCCCGTCCCACAGCACAGGACCGCCCCCCAGCAGGAGGACACTGCGTGTGAAGAGCAGCTGATGGTCAGCAACTGCTGCCATCTCGGGGTGGGGCTTCAGCTTGGTGGCCTTAGGTCTTTGAGACTGGAGAGGTGGGGAATAAATAGGAAGCCCTCTCTGGCCCAGCGATGCTAACTGCCCCCTTCAGTGTCCCAAGCGCCAGCGGAAGTCCCAGGGAGGGTGTGCCGGGAGAAGTCGGTCAGCCCATGTGGGGAACTGGGTCTCAGCTGGCCACGTCCATTCTAAAATCGGAAAGACCACAACTGAGCCCAGTATCTATTTTTACATCCCACTCACTGGAGAGGAATGTGTAAAATTTCAGTAAAGGGGGAGTGCCTGAAGCCAAAACTAACTGTTTGGCTTGGCAGCCTCGGCAGATCTAAATTATTGAACAAAGGCTGCAGAAACATTGTCAGAGACACAGTGGCTTATTGGCGCAAATCCTAATAAATTTACAAACCATTTAACATGTACTCTTCCCACCGTCCCCTCCAAAGAAGGAAAAGGACGAAGAAGAGGGGAAAATACTAACTTTCAGAATCATAGAATTAGTACAAGTGACAGACACCCTGACAGGGAAAAGACAGCAACTGGCCACTGGAGACTAGGGGTGTCAGGCCCTCCGGCAGGCGGGGAGCCGCAGTGCCTGGGGGATGCCTGCCCCTAATCCCGGGGCACTCAACAAGGACCATGTTTTTACCAGGGAGCCTAGGGGCCTAAAGAGCTGGGCAGACAGGTGGGTTAATCCCACCAGGTCCCCAGGGCCCATCTGTGAGGACCCACAGCAACGTGAGCCCCAAGAAAACCCAACAGAGACCCAGCAAGTGGTGGATATAAAAAAAACCCACCCAGATCCTGGGATCATGAGGTTCCGGGATATAACAATCTGCCTTGTCATCTCACAGAGACAAGACACACCAATAACGCAAACGTGTTTCCACCTATCGCAGCACTCCCCAAAGGAACACAGAAGTGGGACAACGCCCAACGCTGCCACACAGGCGCTGCGCACAGCCCTGGGCTCCACATCCGCTCCGCCTCCGCCTTGGCGTCCTCGTCTGTGAAATAAGTTGTGAGGATTAAACAAGGAAATGGTGGGAAGGTGCTCGGCACAGACTGGGGCGCGTGTGAGCCGCTCAGCCACTGCGTGGTGGGGGAGTCACAGAAACTGGACATGATTAATCTGGGGGGCAGGGCCGACCTTCACAGCTGGTAGGGGCTGAGCACAAGCGCTGAGGCAAGAAAGGGGACAACCGCTGAGGCAGGAGGCAGCAGAGCCTGTGGGGAGAGGGCAGCACAGGGGCTGCCAGACACATGGGGAGACTTGAAAGCTGGGCAGACTGGCGGGTCTTGTTGAGGAGGTCGGGGGCTCCAAGCTGCACTGGGGGGTCAGTGCAGCCCCATCTCCCTGCTTCTCAGAAACCCGCTAGCAGCGAGGAAGGACTGCAAGCAGAGCTTGGAACCAAGGGGACTCTCTCTGTACACGCATGGAGTGCCCTCGGTCCTCCAGCAGGGTGGGCAGGAAACTCCTGCAAGCCACAGCCAGCAGACCTGGGCTCCCATCTCTCTTCTTCATTCAACCTGCCAGCTCCTGCCTTCCGAGCTCTGGTGTCCTGGCTGCCAGCAGGAACAGGGACACTGACCCCAGCGGTGAAAGAACTAAATGCAGAACTAAATGCGCATGCAGGTCCCTGAAGCTCCTGAGCTCACTTCTCTGCCTGAGGAAGGGACCAGGCCTGCCCACTCTGGGGGTGGCTATATTGGTCATCGGAGATGTTCTGGTACCAAAGGAATCAAGGAACCGATCCCCACCCAGCCTCCGTACTATCCCCAAATAGGCAGCTGACCTCAGGTAAAGGGCTGGGGAAGGCAGTAAGGGAAAGGCCAGACAGCTTGGGGCGGGGAGAGCAGGGGTTGGGGCGGGGTCCCCAGAGCCCAGCGCCCCAGCGCCAGGCCTGCCCAGCCTCCACAGGAGTGGACTCAGAACTTGCAGCCCGACTGGGAATGCCAAGGACCCGCCTTGCTGCCCGCCTCCCCTCTCTAGAGCATTCCAAGCGCTGTGTTTTCTTCTCTTGAAACATCAGCAGCATGAGAGAGGAATCCACCGTGGAGTCCCAGGGCACTCTCCCCCGCAGCACGTCTGCCAGGCCGACAGACGAGTGGGAACGAGGCTGACCATGCCCACTGGCCGGGCTGGGACCGGCAGCCTCCCTGAGCCCCCCTCCCACGATGGAAGAGGTCAGAGCGACACAGACGGGCTGGGTCAGTCTGGGACGAAGGTGGGGCCCAGGCAGTGAGGTTGGGTGCCAGACGGCGCAGGGTTCCAACAAGCTGGAGCTACAGAGACCACTCTGTGCCTGCCCGGTCATCATGGGCTCTGCTGATGCGAGCTGTGCTTCACTGGGCCCCCAGGTCCCAGTCGCCAGGTCCCACCCAGCACAGTACGCTCTCCTTGTCTGCAGGTGAAACCCCTATGCGCTGGCCTCAGGAAGGAGCCCACAGAGGTGCAGCCACTGGGTAAGAAAGCCCAAAGCCCTGGGATTCTCAGCTCTGCCCCAACAGGGCGGGCTTACCTGCCTCCGCTGGCCTGACCACCAGGCGCTGAGAGTCAGAGCTGGGGAAGGCTGGGTGCTCACTGTCAACACTCACGCAGGCTGCTGAGCTGCGGAGCTGGAGGCAAACATGACACTGTACCTCCCAATGTGTGTTGAGTGGACAATGACTGAAGGAGTGACTGGGAGGCTGAAGCTTTCCTCCTACGTGAGTTTTGTCACCAAATGAGGCAATCCTCTCACAGGGCTGTCTGTTTCGAGCACAGACGTGTTTACTCACCTCTGAGCCTCAAGTCTCATGGCTGACAGGGGGGGTGCACAATAAACGTCCACTGAACTTTATTAAATCAATGGATGACATCATAGAGAAAGTGGGAGGTGGGAGCCGGGGCCAGGGGAGGGGACAGGAACGACGAAGAGTTCTGAAGCGGAGGGTGCTGACGGCTCCTGAATGAGCGTGCTGAACGCCATCGAGCTGTACATTTAGAAATGATTAAGGTGGTGACTTTTATGTTATGTGTATCCTACCACAATTAAAAACTGAAATTTTAAAAAGTCAGTGGGTGATGGATAAACAATAGAATGAACTGGGCCGGATCACAGCTGCCAGGGTACAGCATGTTAGATTAAAAACAGCCACAAACTCTGTGACTCTCCACGGAGGGCTGTGATCTATTCCCTCACACCTGAACCGGGCTGGACTGTGCCTCGGCTTAACCAGCAGGACAGAGCAGAAGGGACACTGTGGCTGCCAAGCCTGCCCAGGGGACTCTTCTACTGCCACGAAGCGGCCCAGGCTGCTCTCGGGACACATGGCCCAGCCGGCAGCCAGCACCAACCAGACACAGAAGTGAGGTTACTTCAGAGGAGCCAGCTCCCCTCGTGCTGTCAGGTGACACGTGAGCCACCCAGGCAAGGCCAATAGAAGAGCAGCCCGCAGCGCCCTGAAACTTCCGGCCACCAGAATCATGAGGAAATACCACGGCCACTTCAGCCATGGCACTGTGGGGCCATCTGCTACGTTAGCATAACTGACAGAGGGGAGGAAGGCGGCCCCTGATGGCAGCGAGCAAGGGCGTGCGAGTTTCCAGTCCTGCACTTGGAGGTCGGGCCACCTGCCCTGGCTGAAGCCATCTCCATCTGCAGCTCTCCAAAGAGGCTCTGATCAGGGTGTCAGTCCTAAGGCAGCGTGTGACAAAGCCTGGGGAGCAGGGTGCGGGGTGCTCTGAGCCCAGTGCTGGGGATAAGAGGGAAGGCTTTCTAGAACTTGGTGCTGACTCGTGAAGGCGCAGGTCGGGATCCGCTCCTGTGCTCTCCGGAACGTTCTCCACAGGTCCTAGCACCAAAATGCACGTGACCGCGAGAGAGCAAACCGAAAACTGAGGACACAGAGCCCAGCAGTTCGTGAAATAAGCTGGTTTTCTTGTCAAAAGGGTACATGGGCTGGAACTGAGAACTCTGCGTTAAAACGGGTGACATCGTAACATGATTTTATTGAGCCTTCTCAATTCACCAGGTTCCTAAGAGACCCGGCTGGTATCTGTGGACAGTAGTACCAGCACAAGTGTGATCCATGCTGGCCCGGATTAGCTGTCCTATTCTCGAGACGTTTTCAGGCACCTGTCCCCCACACTGGCCCCAGGGGTTGAGCCCCATCCGAGCAGCTGTCTCAGGCAGGCACCACCCCACCCTTGTCCTGGAATGCCATCTGCACAAGTTAATAATACACAAACCGTGCTGTCCTGCAAACAGCTGATTCAGGAACACTTAACAAGGTAAAGTCTTGAGAGCACAGGCATTCTCCTGGGGCACACGATGGACTTAGGCCTCAGGATATTTTCACGATGCATTTTGACTTTTCTGTGTCTTCATCACTGTGATATCATCAGAGAGCCCAGCCGAGGAAAACCTGTCCTTCCCTGGCTGAACCCTGGCCCAGTGTTTTATTTTAAGACACAGGCCCCGGGCCGGCAGAGTGGCGCGTTGGTTAAGAGCTCTGAGCAGCAGGGCCCCGGTTTGGATCCCACATATGAGGGCCAGTGACACTGCCCTCCACAGCTAAGATGCTGAACAACAGCTCAACCTGGAGCTGGGCTGCCGTGAGTCACCGGCGACGGCGACGGCGTAGGCTGCAGCCCCTGCATGCAGTGGGCTGCCATGGGCTACCATGTGTAGCCAGCAGCCAGCGTGAGCAGCCAGCAGCTGGTGTGAGCTGCCAAGAGCCGCTGTGAGCGGCCGTCCAGAGGCTGGCGACCGATCTGCCTTACCCGGGAAGAGCACAATAATACCAACATGGGCCAGGGAAGCAACGTCCTCCACAACTAGACTGAAGAACAAACGGACAGCAACTTGTCTGTTCCCCTCCCCCAACTCCCCAATTAAAAAAATTAAAAACAAAACAAAAAAAGACACAGGCCCCTTGCCAACCCTCACTGCTTTGCCCCCTCTGACCAGCCGTCCTCTCCCCAAAAGCCCCCATTTCTAGTGAGAAAAGCAACTGTAGGAACCGGAGAAAATCCAAGAACCAAGACCCTTCAAGTGTCAGTGCTTGAAAGCCCTGCTCTGGCACCCCATCATCCTCAGCGCCCCTATTATGAAAAGAACCTTCCAATACACAGTACCGACTGTTCTAGAACTCAGGGAATCCGGGACTTCTCCCTTCTTTTCCATGGGTCACCGGCCATTTTGCTGCTTATTAATGCGCTTCTATTGGGGCAACTAGGGACGACAGGGAAGTGAAGTAAAATCAGTCAAGCTTGATGCTCTTAAGCAGCTCTGGCAACGATAATAACAATAATAATAATAGTAATTATGATGATGATGAATGACTGGCAGGCCGGAGTTAGCGACCCCAGTCAGCCTGCGTTAGCTAACACACATGCACCCACGGGCCGTTTCAGCTCCACGCGGTACAAAGGGTGTCTCCCTTCCTCTCGCACCTTTGGGCCGATTCTTCTGGTGATTTCAATGGCTCTGCAACCTCGTCTCTGCCGCTGCCTCTCTGCTGTCCCCACACCAACCCAACCTCCTGCCCCTGATGCCCTTCTGATTTCATTTTAAGAAAAGCAGCTGTTACCCCCCACCCCCCAATTTTCTTTTTAAAGCCTCCCTCACAGCGCTGCCTTATGGAGCACGTCACCAAGGTGCTCGGCGCTGGTAGGCAGAGGCAGGAGCCGGAAGGCCCCCAACGGGGCCCTGGGGGACGCTGCGGTGCCAGGATAGCGATCACACGCCCGTGTCCTGGTCGTCGCCGTCCCTCCCCGCCTCTCCCTTCCCAGCAGCAACCACCTGCAGCCTGGCCGTGGGGCTGCTGCCTCCTGAATCCATTAAAAGCTGAACGAAAAATACATAACGATGGGATTCTTTCTAAAAGGACAAACAAATCTAAATTTAATCCAACTTACCCTTGTTTCCCAGGAGAAAGGAGCAGAGTGCTCATCTTGCCAAGTTATATCCTGAAATAAAAAGAATAAATCTGAAATCCAAACCCAAACACCCCACGCAAACATCCCCCAAGGCCACGGAGGAACCAAAATTTAGGAATAATCCCAACTCCTGGCTTGCAACAAGCTTGCTGCTCTGTGAAGAATGTGCTGACCTCCTCGTGTGGTTGTGCCCTACCTTTCCGGCCGAGGCGGGCAGGCACATGCCTGCGCGGCCAAGACAGACATCGATGATGGGGAAATTGGGTAGAAAGGAAAGGGGCTCTAGGGCTCAAGCCCACCAGTGAGAGGCAAGTGGCCATGGGAAGGTGACTTGGTCTTTCGAGCCTCAGTTTCCTCATCTGCAGAAAGAGAATCCCTCTTCCCTTGCAGGGGAGTCACGAGAACTAAACGGGGTAACATAATAAAAGAATGCCAGGCAACAACCTGCCAGTCAACGCCAATACATCTGACCCATCCTTCTTCCATATGCCTACCAGAGCTCTGAAAGGCATTGATCCGCAAAATCAATAAAGAAAACTCCAATTCAATGCAAATGCCTAATTATAACGAGAACTCTGACATCACTCCCCACCCTCACCAAACAGAACAGGAAAAATAGCCCTTCAGGACAGTGACTATGACTTTGACCTTGAATTCATTATGTCTGCTCACTGGTCTCACAAATGACGGGGAAATGGCCTTTCCCTGTGTACCCCTCCAACCCCCCCCCCAGTCGTCTTCCTGTGCTAGCAAGTGTCATTTCAGGGCCCAGCTTCTACTGGGGATATTTTTCTGAACCAAAAATTAGGACATATTGAAAAATACAGATTGAAAATGGGACAAAATGTTTTAAGTGAGACTCCTTCCATAAAGCACCCCACGTACATTACGTCTTCTCTCCACCCTGCCCCCAGGTGCTCCCGGATGAGCTGGGTTCCCTGGCTTCCCTCCTCTACAAGGCAAACCGTCTGCAGCCAGGCCTGCTTCCTTCAGAGCTGACTCCAGCCCCTGACTCCTGAACCTCTGAGCTGGTCTGCATGTCTGCTATCACTCCTGGCTGCTGGGCTAAACCTTAACATGAGAGGGAGTGTGGGCCACTGCCTTCCCATTTGGAATTTCAGCTACACCCAAGTGACTTCTCAATTTATAAACTTTGTCCCTCCAAAAATGGAAACGGGCTGTCTGCAGGAATGTGAGTTAGCAAACCTCTGTGGACAGGAGCCTCCCAGCAGAGGCCTAGGTTCCTACACCCCAGTGTGTGTGTGTGTGTGTGTGTGTGTGTGTGTGTGTGTGTGTGTGTGTGTGTGTGTGTGTTGGGGGTTGGGAGTGCACTTGTGCTAAATGACCTGAGAGTCTCTACAATTCTATGATCTCAGGACCCTCTAAGTTCCTCTTAGAAGTAACAGAACAAGGTAGACTTTGTTTTCAGGTGGGAAAAATAAAGACAGCTGCTGGAATGTAAATATCACTTATTCTAGATTTGAACCTGTGGGAGAAAGTAAAGAGAATTCAATTGACAAGTATACAGTCCTTCTATTCAGAGGTGGGGCAGCCCAGTGGCCACCTCAGTGGACAGAGAAAGCGTGTGGACATTTACTGGGCAGGCAGGGAAGGGGGCAGGACCACTGGCCAAGGGCAGGGCACACCAGAGCTGGATGCCCTTACATGTGATACGATCTATCTTCTAAATATTAATTATGCAGTATGAGTCCCTTTGTAATCTGCAAAGATTAAAAAATTACGATTTTTGGTGTTGGGAGGTGAATGAGAACAAGACCGGGGCGGTGGGCCAGCCATCTCCAGTGGGCACAGCCCGCATGAGCTGAAATTCCAAGGGGTCAGAGACAGAGAGGCCGCTGTGCTTTCTCCCCAACTTGGTGTCAAGAGTCTTTTGTTTACTTCAGCAAGAAACTGAGTCAAGGGGCAAATTCCTTAGATTTCTGCAATTCTGAGCTCATAAAAAATAATACAGTGCTTAAGAAAAGTAAACATGCCAAACAAAAATGTGATTGAAGTTCTGATGTCAGCCACTGGCTGCACACTCCGGCCACAAAAAGCGCTGGCGGCAAGAACAGGCTCCCAGGCAGCTAGATGTAAAACGGCCTCAGGATTGCAAAGTGGCAGCGTCCATACACGCACACACAAACATACACATGTGTGCACATGCACATACACACGTGTGTGTACACACACTGCTCTTTCTTCTACTCCCATGATTACCAGCAGCAACCAGGATGCGGACAGTCACAGGCTGTGGACAGTCACATGTTTCGGTGGTTGCTTGGAAGGCTCCCGCACCTGTCCTATGGTCTAGCCACCAAAACACATCTGCTACTGAGACCACAGGGCACCCGGCAGGCTTCACTTGGGCCAAGAGTTACCCTCTGAGTAAAACCCTGCTTCATAAAAGCCACCCAGACCAGAGACAGCACTGTGTCTCTCTGGAAACAATTTCTTCTCTGGAGCACTGCATGGGACAAAAAGCAAAAGGGAAGCTGCAGAGGGCCACGGGACATAGCCCCAGGCCATTATCAGAGGCCAGAGCACCCGTGGCAGGCTCTGCGGGTCCCCACGTGGCTCCAAGGACTCAGGTGGACACGCACTGAGTGTCTTTCTCTACCATGCGGAGGCCTGAGCTCTTGCTGTTTGTTGTCTGGGAAATGTTCTTCCTACACAGTGTCACCTCCTAACAGAAATAGTATTTTTTAAAATAAGAATACACATTCGCTGCCCATAGTCCTGGAATGTGTATTCACAGGAAAGCTCCAGACCTGGTAAGAAAGGGACCCCAGGTGCTTGAACACCTCTGGGGGCCCCAGACATTTGACTGTTGGAGGTTGCAGCCAGCGGTGTGCGGAAGCCGCCTGCAGCAGCTCATCAATGACTGTGGCATTGCTGGCAATGACCTCAGTGTACACTTAAAAATGGAGAGTGGTCAACTTTATGTAATGTATATTTTACTACAATTAAAAAATCTAGAAAGACTACATACTGTGTGATTCCAACTATTCGACATTCTGGAAAAGGCAAAACCATGGAGACAGCAAAAGGATCAGTGGTTGCCGGGGTGAGAGGGAGGGAGGGATGACCGGGTGGGGCACAGAGGGGTTTAAGGACAGTGAAATGCTCAGAACCAAACTGTAACGAAGGGTACTTTTCTCAAAACCCATAGAATGTTCACCAAGAGTAAACCCAAGGCAAAACATGGACTCCGGACAACAGTGCAGTGTCAGCGTAGGCTCCACCGCGGTAACGCGTGCCCCCCCACCCCCCGCAGTGGGGAGTATTGACAGTGGGGGATGGGGTACCTGTGGGCAGATGGGGGGTAGGCTGGAATTCTCTGCACCTTCCACTCAACTTTGCTGAGAACCTAAAGCTGCCCTAAAAATGAAAATCTATTTTTCCAAAAAGTGTGTGCACCCGCCCCCGGGGAAAAAAAACCCCACAAAGGTAATACATACACAAAGCTCTTCATTTCCTAATTAGTAGATTTTGCTACTACCTATGCTCTCGAGGCTATTTGCATC